CCCTCCCCACATTCATCCCTCCTTCCCCCCAACATTTCCTGCAACTCAGAAACAGCCCAAAACCCCACCAAACAACCCATATCCCTGATTTCATTCCACTTAAGAAACATAAGCACATGGGCATTATTTTGAGTGAGTTGTATTTTCCCTCATTACCTCCAATGTAATCTATATATTCAGCAATAGGCCTGGGTGTAGAAACACATTGTATTCCCCTTTTAATCAAAGTGATTCACTTGTGTGTTTCATTCCAAATTCCTAATCCTATATCTTAAGAGTGGTTCTCTTGAGTGTGAGTTTTAGGTTCTAGTTATTTAAATAAGTGTGTTATATCTTATTTGAATGCTAGATTCAACCTCAAGTTAAGATAAGGGTGAGTAACATCCCTTAACACCAACTTGGCTTGTTCCCCTTCCCAAAGAAACACCTCTTTTTCTGTCTCGAGCTGTCCAATAATCGATTATCGGTAGTAGAAGTCGATTATCTATCCTTCGTAAAACATCTGCAGCCTTCAATAATCGATTATCCACTTAGGACAATCGATTATTAGCTTTTCCCAGAAACCTGTAATTCTCAATAATCGATTGTCACTTCCCCATCAATCGATTGTCTCCCTTCTCAGAGCATCCCCAGAAAACTACCCAGAACCTGAAGCCTTCAATAATCGATTATCCACTTAGGACAATCGATTATCTCCCTCTCCTGCAAATAAAGAGTCTGAGACTATAAAACCCTGAGCTTAGATATAACAGAAGATGTCACTTTTAAGATGATGAGCGTCATGAATCGAACTCCAGACCCAGCTGAGTTCTGCAACTCAGTTAAAGTCATAAAAGATAAAGGGTCTGTAGAAGATCTCCTAAGCCTAGAAATTGCTTTTCAAGAACCTAAGTGTGAGGAGGTGTGCGATATCAAGACGCGATCTGAACCCACAAACGAAGAAAAATCCTTAGAACTTAAACCCTTACCATCACACCTTGAGTATGCTTTCCTCGATAGTGAGGGCCAGTGCCCTGTTGTCATAGCCTCCAATCTAACACCTGATCAGAAGGAAAAATTACTAGTTGTCCTCCGTATGCACAAGCAAGCAATTGCTTGGAAACTAGAGGATATTCAAGGAATAAGCCCCGCTTATTGCACACATAAAATAGCCATTGAGGACGGATTTAAACCAGTTGTGCAGGCTCAACGCAGGTTAAATCCAAAATTAATGGAAGTAGTGCAGAAAGAAGTGCTTAGACTCTTGGATGCTGGAATAATTTATCCCATTTCAGATAGCCAATGGGTGTCACCAATCCATGTTGTTCCAAAAAAGGGTGGAATGACAGTAACCAAAAATGAGAAGGGAGAATTAGTTCCAGGAAGAACGGTGACTGGATGGCGAATGGTCATAGACTATAGAAAGTTAAATGATGCCACACGCAAGGATCATTTCCCCCTTCCTTTCATTGACCAACTCATTGAGAAATTAGCTGGCCATGCGTACTATTGCTTTCTGGATGGGATGAGTGGTTATTTCCAAATCCATGTAAATCTCGAAGACCAGGAGAAGACCACTTTCACTTGCCCCTTCGGAACCTTTGCATTTCGTCGGATGTCATTCGGACTCTATAATGCCCCTGCCACCTTTATGAGGTGTATGATAGCTATTTTTGAAAAGTTTATAGGGGATTTTATGGAAGTCTTTATGGATGATTTCTCTATCACAGGGAAGTCATTTGACGAATGCCTAGGTAATCTAGAAAAAGTTCTCATAAGATGCGAGGAAACTCACCTAGCTCTTAGTTGGGAGAAATGCCAGTTCTTAGTCAAGGAAGGGATAGTCTTAGGTCACAAGGTATCGAGTCGTGGGGTAGAGGTGGACCGCGCTAAAATCGAGACTATCGAGAAGCTTCCACCGCCAAATTCCGTAAAAGCCATCCGAAGTTTTTTAGGGCACGCAGGATTTTATAGAAGGTTTATCAAGGACTTTGCTAAAATAGCAAAACCCCTAACTGCCCTACTAGAGAAGGGTATAGAGTTTGTTTTTACGGATGAATGTTTACAAGCATTCAATACCTTGAAAGAAAAACTAATCTCAGCCCTAGTTCTTATCGCCCCAGATTGGGCACTACCGTTTGAACTCATGTGCGACGCTAGCGATTTAGTAGTAGGAGCAATCCTTGGACAAAGGAAGGAAAAGGTTTTTCACCCAATTTACTACGCTAGTAAAACCCTTTCGGGAGCGCAACTCAACTACACAACTACTGAGAAGGAATTCCTAGCAATTGTATACGCTTTGGAAAAATTCAGGCCTTACATCATTCTTTCTCCAGTTGTCGTTTACACCGACCATGCAAAGCCTCGGTTATTACGTTGGGTTTTATTGTTGCAGGAATTTGATTTACAGATCAAGGATAGAAAAGGTTCGGCCAATCAAGCTGCAGATCATCTGTCTCGGCTAGATGTGGAAGTAGCCGAGCAATTTGGCAATTGTATAGTGAACGAGTCCTTTCCCTTTGAGAGGATCTACGATATACAAGAAAAGGAACCTTGGTATGCGGATATTGCCAATTATTTGGCAGGGAAGATCGAGCCTACCTTGCTGACACCGCACCTAACCAAGAAGCTTAAGCGAGAAGCTCAAGTCTACTTTTGGGACGACCCCTACCTTTTCAGGATTTGTGCGGACCAGGTGGCTCGGCGATGCGTGACTGAAGCAGAAGGAAAGGAAATTTTGGCAGCCTGCCATAGTGGCCCAGTTGGCGGACACTTCTCAGGAGCACGGACAGCAAGGAAGGTGTTGGACTCAGGATTCTTCTGGCCAACGCTTTTTAAGGATGCTAATCAGTTTGCTGCTTCCTGCGACCGCTGTCAAAGAACGGGCAATATATCCAAGAGAAATGAAATGCCACAGCATTACATGCTGCCGTGCGAAGTATTTGATGTGTGGGGAATCGACTTTGTGGGGCCATTCCCGAGTTCTTACGGTAATAAGTACATCCTCGTAGCTATTGATTATGTATCCAAATGGGTTGAAGCCCAAGCTTGCAAAAGAGACGATGGCCGCACTGTGGTTCGCTTCTTAAAGAAACTGTTTTCGAGATTTGGAGTTCCAAGACTAATAATAAGTGACAAGGGTACCCATTTCCGAAATGATCCACTATCTAAGGCGTTAGAACGTTATGGAGTTCAGCATAGAGGAGGAGTGGCGTACCACCCTCAGACTCAAGGGCAAGTGGAGAATGCAAACAGGGATTTAAAGAGAATCTTGGAAAAGACTGTTTCCAGAACGAGGAAGGATTGGAGCGAGAAACTTGATTATGCTCTATGGGCATTTCGCACGGCATATAAAGCACCAATTGGTACAACTCCCTTTCACTTGGTGTACGGAAAGTCTTGTCACCTTCCAGTTCAAATTGAGCATAAGGCATTATGGGCACTGCGAAATGTTTGCCTTGATTCTTCTGAAGCTGGGCGAGAAAGATTTTATCAGCTAGATGAGCTAGACGAATGGCGAGCATTAGCATTCCACAATGCTAAGCTATACAAGGAAAGGATGAAGTTTTATCACGACGCTCATATTAAGCAAAACAGGGTCTTTCGCGAAGGCGAAAAAGTGTTGCTTTATAATTCTCGTTTGAGATTGTTCCCAGGCAAGCTTCGCTCCCGATGGACAGGGCCCTACACAATCACCAGAATCTTCCCTTATGGGACTGTAGAGTTGAAAGGTGAATCTGGTACGTTCAAGGTCAATGGGCAACAGATTAAGAGGTACTTTGGTGAGCAGTTTCAAAAAGGGAAGGTGGAGATTAAACTCCACAAATGATGAAGTAATTGCGTCAAGCTAGTGACGTTAAAGAAGCGCTGAACGGGAGGCAACCCGTTATTTCTCTCTATTTTATTTAATTATTATTCTGTTATTCTTTATTTGAATAAATGAACGGAGACTTGTCGCACCTATATGGGGGCAAGATGTTATATGTGTATTTCATGTGCAGATGCCTCACAGGCCAGCATTCCCGACTGCTACGCGTGCCGCTTGGTGGGTTCGGGGCCCATCGAGCGATTTGAGATGTGGGGCCGCCATCGCTCATTGACGGAGTCTGTGTACCTGTCCTCGGCAGTTCTCACCGATTACGGGTACGCTGAGGAGATGGAGCAGCTACTACGAGGGACGAGGTGGCATCGCCTCTTCACGATGCGGGCTAAGTCCAGCCTGCCACTGACAATCGAGTTTCTGTGCTCTCTTGAGCTGGAGCCGTCTACGGGGTCACGGTCGATGAACTTCCAGTCCATCGACTCTCATACCACCCTCACCTTCACTCTCCTAGGGCGGGGATTTCAGCTGACGGTCGTTGATCTAGCCACTCACTTGGGTCTCTACTCTTGGGAGGAGACGTCGGCGCCAGAGTTTGATGCCGCACCATACCTTCTCCCTGCAGACGTTGATCCTGCCAACTTTTGGGCGGGGCATTCTTCCGATCCAGACCGCTTTGAGGGCATGGGTCGGGCCAGGTTTTGGATTCAGCCGACTTAGCGAATCCTATCTTTTGTGCTTTCGACGTCCTTCTTTGGGAGGCCGTTGAACACGGCTCGGGTATACCCCGATGACATGATTGTCTTCTGGAGCTTGCACACACGCCAGGAGGCGAATGTGGCTGTCTTTGTGGCCCGATTCCTCTACAACCAGTCTATGGGGAATCGGACGCACATTGTCTGTGGTTTCGTGGTCATCATACTCTTCCGATCACTCGAGGGGTCGGCGCCCATTCCGCAGGCACAGATGTTGATGCGAGATTTGGACGCTGGCATGCTGAGGAATGCTCACATCCGTAGGAGGTTGGGAGCTAGCTCTACCGAGAGCAACGCCGCTTCCTCATCTGCGCCCTCGACCTCAGGAGCATCTTCGCAGGTCTCGTCTAGGAGAGCCACTCGTCGCCGTCCCACTTCTCAGGCCACTCCAGCTACGACCCAGGCGGATCCGACCCCGGAATGGGCTAGGAGGATCCTGGAGCAGCAGGATACCATCATGCAGAGGATGTCCGAAATCGGACAGCAGCAGCATCCCAGGCTGAGAGCTTTGCTCAGCTTCGGAGGACCTTTACTGGCTTTTACTCAGATGTGCACATTGGGCTCACCCCTCGCTCTCCTGAGGGCGACGATCCATCCGCTTCTGTTCCTCCCCCTTAGTGATCTTCATATTATTTTCCTTTGAAAACTATTTCTCTTCGTTTATGAGCAGGAATTGATGATCAACTGGAATGTTGGAACTTCTTATTTTCCACCGGTAACATTTACTTATGCACTTGCTCTATTTCAATTTCAATCAACTCCTTTTGAGTTATTGATGTGTGAGTTCTTTTGCTATTAATCAATCATCTCAACCCGGTATTATACTCCTAAACATTTTTTTTCCAACTGCGGGGACGCAATTGTGTTCAAGTGTGAGGAGGAAAGTTACCTGGTTGAAATGATCGAATGAAACGTGTTTTACTTGTATACATGTAGACCACTTTGGTTTTAGCATAATCATCAGTCTAATATTGAATAGTTAATTGATAGGGTGTCAAGCATATAAACTGAGAATTTTCAAAGGTTTTGGCAAACTCCTATTTTTACGTGATTGGGATAAACTGATCTTTTAGAAGATCTAGTCTGTTCCCTTTACTACTACGGGAATTTTGCGTTAAACCAAAATTCTTCACCAGCACCGCTCGATCAGCTATCTTTGACCGAAATCTACTGGGAGTAGCGATCCTTCCCTTCAACTTCTGAACTTCTTTCACATTCCGCGGAGGTTCCATGTGCATTATTTCCCTAACTTTCTCGGGATTGGATTCGATGCCCCTCCGTCTAACCATATGTCCCAAGAATTTACCACCTTACACCCAAAATATGCACTTCTTGGGGTTGAGTCGGAGCTGATCTATTTGCATGATCTCGAATACCTTTTTTAGGTCTCGCGCATGTGATTTCATTTGTTTTGACTTGACAATCATATAGTCCACATATGTCTCTATGCATCTTCTCAGGACCGACGAGAAAAACTTATTCACCATTCAGGCGTATGTTGCTCCGACGTTCTTTAGTCCGAATGGCATCACTTTATAATAGTAGACTTCGTTTTGGGTGATGAACAAAGTCTTCTCCTCATCCCCTGCAGACATCCTTATCTGATGATACCTACTAAAGGCATCCATAAAGCTCACAACTCACATCTTGCTGTCTCGTCCACCAACTGATCAATATTGGGTAAAGGAAACTGGTCCATTGGGAAAGCTTTATTCAGGTCGCTGTAATCGATGCACATCCGCTAGGTATTCCCTTTGGGTGCGAGAAACATATTGGCCAACCATTCTGGGTACCGGACCTCTCGAATATGCCCAAAGGACTGCAAGGTGCTTACCTCCTTTGTGACGAAATCTCTCTTCTCCGAAGAGGGGAAACACTTCTTCTGTTTCACCAGCCTTGTAGGATCGACCGCTTGCTTGTGACAGATAATTCGAGCATCGACCCTAGGCATTTCCACTGGGTCCCATGCAAATAGCACCTTGAAGGATCGAAAGACGCCCACCAACCGTCCCCTCTGCTCCTGCTACAGGGTTTTGCCAACCTTAACCCTTTGATTCGGCTTTTCTAGGTCCAGTGCGATTTCTTCAACCTCTTCTACCGGCGTCACCTTTGGCCGACCTTCCTCCCTCTGGATGGCAGCGCAGATCATAATGACGTTTTCATATATATATGTGTGTGTGTGTGTGTGTGTGTGTGTTTATGGATATGGATATCTATGTATACATATATAATTATATACATACATGTATATGGATATACATAATTAAATTTAAGAAAATAAATTAAATAAGAAAATAAAAAATTAAAATGTAGGATAAAGAATAAAAATAGTAATAAAAAATTAAAATTATAAAAAATAAAATAAAAAATAGTGATAATAATTTTTTTTAAATAGATAACAAAATAAATTTAAAAATGAAAAATATAAATAATATATTAAAAACAAAACATTTCCTTCTCCTCCCAATCAAACAAGGTGAAGGGAATCCTTCCCTTCCCTCCTCATTCCCTTCTGTCCATTCCTTCCCCTCCCCTCCCTTCTAGCCAAACATACCCTAAGTACAAGTGGTTGTATATAACTCTAAGTAGATTAGCTAATACTAACTTTTAAGCAATTAAACATTCATTTTGAATTCTTTTATATTCGTTCTTTATCCACCAAATGTTCATTTGTGCAAAATACAATTCACATTTTCATAAAACAAGTATAATTTTATTAGAAATATATAAAATATTCATTTACAAGTAATATATTGTTCATTTGAAATACTTACGGTATCACCATCACAACCAAATTTAGACCACCACTCCACTAATTCATTTTCATAGGATTCTAATTTTGTAGTGCCGTTACAAAATTCAACTCCGATCGATTAGCTTCTTCCACCAATTTCTCTCTCTCTATCCATGTCGTCGCACCTAGGGTTCTATTGTACATAGGGTTTTGATCGGCTCATCTCCTTTTCGATCGCCACTCGATCGACTTATCCTTGCGGTCGCCGTACCTAAGGTTTTGATCGGCTTCCCCTTCTATCAAAGCAGCATTGCTCTAATTTGGCACTAACTATACCGAAAAAATGGTACAACCAGGTGTACTATACAACTTGTGCTCAAGCGAGAGGTCTCCAAACTCTCTCTCTCTCTCTCTCTTTGTTTGAATTACTGAATATATTGAGGAAATATGCAATTTTGAAATTTATTTCCTTAAATAAATATTTCTTTCTTCTAAAAAAACTTCTAATTTCTTTTTTAAAACCTCCTAAAAAAATTCTTCCATTCTTTTTTAAATAACTTAGAGTGGTTAAAAACATTATTCTCGCATCACTCTCAACCTTAAGTTTTGGCTTTCCTTAAATTTTATCAAGTCAAATTAGGGCTGGGCTGGGAAAATCGAAATCTACAAATCAAACCGAAACCAATCGAAACGAGCTAAAAAAATTGAACCGAAAAACTGAAACCGAATGTAAAAAAAACCGATTTGTTATTGTTTGGTTTTTGTTTTGGTTTTTACTTTGGAAAACCAAACCGAACCAAATAAACCGAACTTCCTTAGGTACTTCGCTTTATTTATATGAGTTTATGTGATACACTGATACGTAATAAATCATAGAAATATAAATGCAAATAGTTGACAAGTCAATTAGTGTTATTTTTTTAACTATTAATTAAAGATTTTAAACCATATTATAAACTTTAAAAAAACCTAAGAATATAAACACCAATAACTAATCCTAATATAAAATTATATTAACATTAAACATTGATACGAGTAATTAACATATTTACATTAAAAACTTTGATGATATAATGGAAATGAAAGTATTATACCAAAAAATAAAAATTCTCCATATATTTACAAACGATGATGTCCTTGGGAGTATTTTAAATCTTCTAGAGTATTTACACACATTTTTTTGTAAAATTGAACTGAACAGAACACTAACCTTCCGTTCGGTTTTTGGTTTTGTATAAAATCAAACCAAAAAATTGAACCCAAACCCACTTATTGTTATTCCTTCATCGGGTTAGTTTTTTTACAATTTTTTAATATTTATTTTTATAAACTGAGAAAACTGAAAAAATCAAAATAAAAATCACATAAAACCAAACCGAAATGATTTACATTTTTTGTGCAAACCGAATCGAACCGCTGATTTACCTTGCATTTTGTTTTTAATTTTTGGTAAAAACCGAACCGTTAAAATCTAACTCATTTAAGTCAAATCCACATAAATTTGGATTGAGGGAGTATATCAAATCTCTCAATTTAGGTCCGGTACGATGCAGGCAATTGAGGCGTTCAACAGTCACCATGGCTTGAATATTGGGTTAAACGATGAGATCGATCGGCAATAGGCCTAAAATAGAGCAGACCAACTCAGGTATGTGGCCGAATCCGATTTAGAAAAGAAAGAAAGAAGAAGAAATCTCATTTGCATCTCCTATGCAAAACAACTTGTATTGTGGAAGATAGATATAGATCGGCAACCTCAATTTTATTAATCGGTGAGTTTTCCAAGCCATGGAAACTGAAGTAGTCGCAGCAACTGAAAGCAATCAATCCTTAGGTACTCTCTCTTATCAACTTAATAATTCTGTAGTTGCTTACTATATTATAGTTCTAATTGTGAAATCATTAGTAAAATCTTTCATTTTTAGCTTCTGATTCGGATGATAATGAAGTGAAAAGGAGATGTTGGGAGCAGAGGGAAGCTCTGCCTGATGAACCAAAATGTGTTATTTGTGGCCGTTATGGTGAATATATATGTGATGAAACTGATGATGACATTTGTAGTGTCGAATGTAAAACGATTCTATTATCTCGGATAGAAAAATCTGGAACACCATCTCCATGCCCTCCCCCAGTAAAATTGCCAACAGCTGATGAATGTTATTATGTGCGCGATTGTAGTAATGAAACTGATTCAAAATGTCTGGGCAGTGTTCAATTAGAGTTGTTGAGGAGAAAACTCAACATTTCTGTGAAGGGTGGCCTTGTTCCACCTCCCGTCATGTCATTTTCTTCATGCAGTGTTCCTCAAAAGCTTCTTGATAATTTAGAAGCTGCAGGTTACGAAATCCCAACTCCTGTGCAAATGCAAGCCATCCCGGCTTCTCTAACGGGTCAAAGCTTGCTGGTTTCTGCTGAGACTGGTTCTGGGAAAACTGGATCATTTTTAATTCCTATTGTTGCAAAGTGTGTTAAATCAAATCTAACTTGCTCTGAGAGGAAGCAGAAACCATCCGGGATGGTTCTTGCACCAACTAGAGAGATCTGTATTCAGATAGAGGGGCAAGCTAAGGTGTTAGGGAAAGGGATGCCTTTCAAAACTGCACTGATTGTGGGTGGTGATTCAATGGCCCAACAACTCTATCGTATTCAACAGGGAGTTTCATTGATTGTTGGTACTCCCGGAAGGCTTATTGATCTTCTGGCTAAGCATCATGAGATTGAATTAGATAGCATCTCAATCTTCGTTCTTGATGAGGTAGACTGTATGCTGCAGAGAGGATTCCACGAGCAAGTAATGCAAATATTTAGGGCACTATCTCAACCTCAGCAGCTATTGATGTATTCTGCTACAGTTTCAAGAGAGGTTGAGGAGATGGCCAACTCAATGGCAAAACATTTAGCTGCTATATCAGTCGGCCAGCTGAACAAGCCTAATCAAGCCGTGAAGCAGATTGCCATCTGGGTGGAATCAAAACAAAAGAAGCAAAAGCTTTTTGATATTTTAACGAGCAAGCGACATTATAAGCCACCCGTTTTAGTATTTGTGGGTTCTAGATTTGGGGCAGATCTCCTTTCTGAGGCAATAACGATATGCACTGGACTGAAAGCTCTTTCGATTCATAGTGAGAAATCTATGAAGGAGAGGAGAGAAATTTTAGGATCATTTTTGGTAGGGGAGGTGCCTGTGATGGTTGCCACTGGGGTCTTGGGCAGAGGAGTTGATCTGCTGTGTGTAAAACAAGTGATAGTGTTCGACATGCCGAATTCCATTACGGAATATGTGCATCAGATTGGAAGGGCATCTAAAATGGGAGAGAAAGGTGTGTCAATCGTATTCATAAACGAGGAGAATAAGAAACTTTTCCCAGATTTGGTTGAAATCCTTAAATCATCTGGTGCTGGCATTCCGCCCGAGCTTGCTCATTCAAAGTACACCGTTACCTCTTTCTCTGGCTGTAGCCATCATCTGAAAAAAAGAAGGAAACATGGTAATTGAAATAAGCCATGTCTGTTTACTTAATTATTTAAAGCGCCCCATTGTGCCTTATACCCTATAATGATAGCACCTATTAATGGATGGTGAATAGTCTTGCTCGTGATCCTCAGAGTTTTATTGCACAAGTGAAAGTTATCCTTAATGGGAGTTCCTGTAGTGTTGTTATTTGATGATGGGTCTGCAAACTGAAACCGATATATTATGAGAAACAGCCACGGAACAATGAGAGGGAGGCTGTGAATGGTGCCTTGTACTCTTCACTTGTAAGATTCAACTTGAACACCTCTATATCCATCCTTGGCTACTAATTTTACAGTGTTTTAAAGTTATTGATCTTGTGCTAGTTTTGTGCATATAGTCTGGTCACAGTCAGTTAGTTTGTGTATACTTTCAACTTCTTTATAGGAAAAAGTATTCAAAAGAAATGCTGCAGAGGTTGGTTAGCCTATTAGGAGAGCCTATATTCTACATCCTGGTGTACCTAGAGCTAGTTATACCCAACAAATGTTCATTTTGAATTAACGTAGTGTTCATTGTGAAGCAACGTTGTATTCATTTTTACACATTTGTTCATTATAATTATAATATTCATATACGAACAACGTAGTATGAAAGCGTGTAGTTTGTTTTACTTGCTACACGAAAGTGAGAAGAATGAGTAATAAGGAAACAATCTTTGAGGGCAGCAATAATGAGGAGATGGGTGAATGCAAGGCTGGAGAATCATTTTACTTAATATTACAGTTAGAATTTATTATTTTTTCAGGCAAGAACCCAAAGTTGTGTTTGAAATAAGTACTTAAGCTTCTGCACCATTTTATTATACACCGATTGATGTTTTATATAATGCTTTGGATTATTTATTTTAAATTGTTTTAAAAACTATTGTGTTTGGATGCCAATCCGGATCAACCCGCTCCGCTAGTCCATGTATTCGAGTTATGAGGGTTTGGGTATTACATATTCGCTCTCCTGCATTACTCTTGTAACAAAGACATAGTTTTGAAGGTCATACGCATTTCTTTGGGGCTCAGCGTAGAATGCATCTAAATAGGTTCAGGTACTACCTTAACAAGGTCTTGTAGCTCAAGTTTTTCATTAGCCCTTTGCAAAAAAAAAAAGTGGTTTTGCCAACACTTATATCTCCCTCAATGCAGAAAGTTATTCGTTTCTTTCGTGCAGCCTTTATGTAAGAATCAACCTCGTCCTTCAACTCTTCATCCATACATTTTCTTGATGAAAGTGGTTGTAACACTCCCACCCGCGTAATCTGAACCAACGAGTTAGCAATTCAGGTTGCTACTAATTTGGTATTCACATGCACAATATTTTTAAAAAATTTAATAACAAAACATCAATTTACATTAATTTGAAAACAATTCATAATTATTTGGAGTAAATAAAACAAACGTGGCGGAAGCCTTTGATAATAATATCCGACATCTTTGTACTTTAAATAGACAAGTTCAACAAAAATATACTCCGTATAATATAGATCAAACAGCTTCAGACCATCCACCAGTATCACGCTTCACTATCCTCCAACATATTCCTCATCAAATCCTTGACCCCTACCTGTAAAAATAGGGAGGGTGGAAATATCTAACGCTAAAACTAACTCATAGGCTAGTATCGATTAATATCTAATCGTACAATATTAGAAGAATCAAGAAATATCATTATTCAACTATACTAATAATTATTCCTTATAATTCAATTTAGTTCTTACCATACTTATCCTACCTACTAGATATAATCGAATTCATTCCTATAGTAGTTGTGAAATCCAGGCTCTCACCCAAACCCACTCTCAAACTCTAAAGTTTTCACAATGAAGGGGTTGAGACCCCTGCTGGCTCTCACCAAGGGTCACTGACCTCTGTACGTACGTTTTTAACCTTCGAGACCATCAGATGCACGACGGTACCCGCATGACCTTATTTCTAATTTCAACCCTATTAGTGATTTTCAATATATAATTAAACTCAAATCTGTCTATTACTACTAGTTAGTCTATTTCATAATTTTAGTAAAACATATATAGTTACCACCAATATACCCTGACAAATACTCTACTTATGCACTTTACATTGTCTTTAAAGGACTTGACAATTCGGATCTTAATATTACATAGAGATATTTCAGATATTTATGTGGCTTGGACTCAATTGTAATGATGTTTACGTCTAATTTCCACATAAATAGAGCTGAATTGTAAGTTCATGTACCCCAAAATTTGTACTTGTACATCAAAGATATCCACTAACATTTTAATGGTTCACACTGATACAATGTGTTGGTGCGTTAACAAAAATTTACACTGATACAAAGTGTTGATGTGTTAACAAAATTAGCATTACGCCAACACAAACTATTGGTGCATCCTTGCGGTGTACAAAATGAGGTACAAATTCTTGAAGTACAAATAACATTATGCATATAAGAAATTCATGGGCTATTTTAGAAACTCAACTTTTAGTTTTGAAAGTGGGACACTCAATGTGTGCATTTGTATCTTCTGTACGCGGTCGTATCGAGCTCACCACCAATTTGAAGGTAGCAATCAAACTGGTAACGGAATACCCCGCGTCGTCACCAAATAGTAGCGGCAGCAAGGACTGTGACCGGCAGCCTTCTCCCTTGCCGGAAGAACCTTAGCAACGACAGCTATACAGAGAATAGGGTAGTACTCTCCCTTCCAGCGAACTGCGGCGAAACAATGGAGCTTCAATTCTTCACGGCAGTAGCGTGCTTCAACAGCGTCACAGCGGGAACAGAAAGAGAGCTGTAGAAAGAACAAAAAAGAACATGATAGCGCAGAGAAGAACGAAATAGAGCAGAAGAACGAACATCATAGAAAAGAACAAGACAGTTCTTTCCAACCCAAAATTCCAAACAAATTCAATTTCCCAACAATTAGCCAGGACAATTCAATAAACATTGATGGGATTCTATCCAACAACTATGGCGTGCGAAGAACAGAATAATAATAAGAACATTATTGGTGAAAATAATAACTCTTGTGTGTTTGTATTAGCTATATCCAGCTTGAGTTACAATAGAGGGTTTACCCTCTATTTATAGTCTACTTCTACCGTATACAAGACATGTAATATTTTGTGTGTTATATTATCAGTAATTCTCTAATCATGTGTCAAACATGGCGGAGAATCAGTCATCAACCCCCCTTCAATTCCACGATTTGGGGAATTGCACTCCATTCAAGTATCGGGCCTGACCCGACACTCCGGGTCCACCTTCGAGCCTTAACTCTATGTTCTACTGTCGGATTTATATCCCAGTTGGGCCGTGGAATCACAATTGGGTCGTCCATACCCGGCCATTGGGCCCGGATATCCATCACAAGCCCCCTAGTTCCTTCGCTACACGTCACCAAGGAACTAATGAAGAGCCACCTTTGATTATTGTGTCGGATCGGAAACGATCCCACTCCTTACTCGAAATTCGAGCCATAACATCTTAAAACTCGCTCCACTTCGGCGACCCGTTTACGCCTTCACAACATTCTTGACCCAATCTCAGAGTTATCTTCCGCAATCCACGACTTTTCTTCTCAAATTATTGCAGTATGACTTCCAAATCCTCTGGCATAGAACAATGGCAGCATGAATCCTCCACGATTAAGGATTCGGAGCTTGTCCTCATGTGTGACCTTCTGGAGATCCATTCAGAGTCCATCATCCGGACACCGTGGGTGGAATCAATCTTGCTTATAATTTAGCACCGGAGCGCTTTCTTGTGATGCACTATGACTCAGTCCTTCATGGTTTCAGACTCCCGCTGCACTCCTTCATCCGCGATGTATGCCCAACTTGGGAAATACGTCTTGGGCAATTCATAACCAATGCCCCCAAATACCTTGCTTCCTACATTCTTCGCTGCCATGTCAAAGGGAGAACCCCCTCGGTTGAGGACTTCATGACTTTTTTCAGCATTGTTGGTTCCTTCCCTTACATCGGTGTGTTCCTGCATCAAAAGCGCCCCATTTTCACGAAGGTGGGGCTAAAAATCATGCACTATATTTTGTTATAGAATTCCAAATTCACAGCCCTTTAGACCTACCCTCTGTGGTGCTACGGTCTAACCTTTCACGGACCCCATTCTCTAGAGATTCCTATGCCGATAAGGCCTATGAGAAGATGAAGAGCGTCACCCTTATTGAACATGAGAATCTTCAAACACATTGCCTGTTCTGCCTGGCTGTTTTCCACTTCCCAAGAAACAATCCAATCAGTCCTTCTTCCTCAGGCGCTGAAATGAGGGGTTCCCTAGAACCCCCGACCCAAGAGGCGCGAGCAGGGGGAGCATGGCCCTTCTGAACCTTCCAGTACTTCGGGCCCAGAAGCCACTCCTAATTCTTTCTTTCCCATGATCTCCCCGGCGCCGGAAGTGATCTCCACCTAAGCCACAGCTAACCCGCCTTCCGGTCTAATCCTTCAAAAGCTTTCTAGTACACAGAAGCGCAAACAATTCAACCCTACCATGTCCAGTCATCGGAGCACCAAACGCCCCCGCTCAAAAGCCACAATCGGGGAAACTAGCACTAGCCAAGAAAGACGGTACGTATCCTCGTTCGTTTTTCCCAAGGGTGACTCCCGTCGTCTTTTCTTCAATGATTTTTTGAATCGCCCAATTTTAACTCCAAAATCCATTGAACACACTGTATTCTATCACTTGCCATTTGCCGATGCTATTTATTTTGTTGATAAGCTCAGTGTAACTCAATTTTTGCGTAGAACATTTGAGATTTATTGTCCAAATCTTGTTTGTTTGTTCTATGCCAATCTTTCTTTCAACGGAAGGGTTCTCAAATCCTCCGTTAATGGCATTGACATTGAGATGAGCCACAAGGAGATTGGCGAACTCCTTCACCTATCCTATGAGGGTTGTGATTTTCACAAACCCGCGTTTAAGGAATTTAGACATTTTTCTCCCTACGACACCATCACCAAAGTTGGCAATGAAGACATTTGTGAACGTGAACATTTACCGTTGGAGGCCTTAAACCTCATTTCTGTATTCTTCACTATTTTATCTCGAAAGTACTAGCTCCTCGAAATTCGAACCATTCTAAAGTACTTTCCTTGGACACTCGTCTATTCTTTGTTTTCTTGAAGAATACAAAAATGAATTGGGCAAAATTCTTTTGCAATCATCTCCTTTCAATGGTTATTTTGAGCACGCATAAGGTGAACTTGATGAAGGAAATTCACGCCGGTAAACATCACACTTGGACCATTGACGTCACCACCTTCAATCGCTCCAACGTACCAAGAGCCGTGGAAGAAGAAGGAGAAGAAGAAAGTGAAAAAGAACACAACTCCGAAGGAGAACCGGCGGATATCCAAGCACTCGAGCCCATTGAGCCTCAAGAAGTGTCAAGCCGGTGTTCTTCTCCATCCCGTGTATCACGCTCTATGTCGTCGCATCGTTCTCATCGGTCCCTCCTAAAAAGGATCTTGGATGCAGTGACGTGCACCCGCGCGGATGTGGCGAGTACTCGTTTGGAGATGACCATGCAGGGTCATCGGCTTTCTCGCATGGAGCAGCGGTTGACGGAGCTCGAGCTACGACCTTACTCTAGACCACACCACAGCTACAGTAGAGGACCACGCCCGTCGAGCTCTCTTTGACTTCTTTCTCTCCTTACTCTTCTCTATGCTATTATCTTGATTATTTGTGATACATTGAATGACCATAGTTGTTATAACTTTTGGTGGATGATGATGTTTTTTTTATGATGTTAGTTACTTGTTATGGATGTTAATTTATTGTGGTTTATGTTGTGGATTGAATATTATGCTTATTATTGATACTTGTTGATGTTTTGGCAATATTGTTCATCTATTAGAACATGTTGTCCTTTGTATGAAATTGCTATTAGTTTCTTTTTTAAAGGAAACTCTTGCAAAAATTTTTAGAAAAATTGCCTTTTGAGCTATCCTTCAAACTCCCAGCATAGTTTAACGGAGAAGGTTATCAGTTGCTAATGCCAAAAGGGCAAAGGAAGGATAGTTGAGAAAATATTCTTTTGAAAAACGTCTTTCCGCTTTCATACTCCGAAATTTTTATTACTGCACTTCTCTAACCTTGCAGGGGAAATTAAATTAAGGGAAGTATTTCTTGAACTCATACTTTGCTATTTCTCAACTATGTTTGTCATTATCAAAAAGAGTGAAATTGTTAAACATGAGTTCAAACCCTTTTATATATTCTAGAATCTTTTTTTGGTTTTGATAAATGACAAACAAGATCATTAAAATCAACGATGATCAAAAATTTATTTTTCATATCGAGAAAAGCAAAGAGGCGTATCAAGAAATTTACAGCGATAAAAATCAACGCTCGCTCCTACGCAGAGTTTTTGAAGTGAAGTGAAGATTCTGCATACTTTTATTTTTTTTATTGAGTCTAGGAATTTTTGTAAGGATGTCATTCATTTTTGCATAAAGAAATTAATTTTTTGAGGGAAAAATTATTATTTTCTGAGTCAGTTGAAAAATCGAATTTTCTCTGTCCAAAAATAATTTACTGGGTCAGTTACAAAATAGTGTGTCAAAATTCCTTAAAATATTTTTAAAGGTACACAATTTTTTTTGCAATAAGAAAAATATACTTTATATATTTTTCGTGTAGACTGTTTGACACACAAAATATTTTTGCAACTCAATTTCTACACCAAAATCCATTCCATAATTCAAAATTAAATTTGAATTATTTTTGTTTGATTATGGAGCCTCCTTATCTCGCTCCTGTGTCCCAAACAATCCCTAAAATCCAAATTGTACTCTTCACTCGCACACATGCCTTGAGTCCTTGTTTGGCCATAATTCGTCAGAGGATCTATCCTCTTCAGTGGATTGATCACCTTGTGCAGAGTGATCCGTCAGTGGATCAATCCACTTGCCTTGATCGATCATCAAATTTCCAAATTTTTTTCGGAGGACCGATCTAGAGGGTTGGATCGATCCCCCGTGGCTTTGACAAAAATTCTTTACCAATTTTTTTAACTATTGGGGATCGATCATAAGCCTTGGATCGATCACCTATGGTAAAATGTGTCAAAAACATTTATCCCTACCTCCAACGAATTTATTTCTCTAAACCCTATAAAATCCCTCTTCATCCTTCATCAAACACACATCTCTTGCACTCCTTTCCTTCCTTATTCAATATTCAACTCTTGCTTCAATCTTCTTTATCAAACTATTATTTTGAGAGTTACAATATAACACCCCAACCCACATAACCCGAATAAATAGGTTAGCGAACCGGGTTGCTACTAAATTGGTATCCACACACAATATTTCCAATAAATTAATAACATTTAATTAAACATCCAAACATTTCAATTAAAACTTAAATGTTTATCGGAGTTAGTTCAAAACAGAGCGGAAGCAAAACTGTTATTTTAAATAAACATCTTGAATAGATCATTATCAGAAAACGAGTTACATTACAACCATCATATCTGTTAACGGTTTGAGTCCCGCATCCGTAAATCTCCTCCATCTCTGTGCCCTCCAGGATCAGCTTGTTATTACCTACGTGTAGAAAGACGGAACAAACTACACGCTCAGCGATAAGCTAAATGAGAAATATCTAACAATTCGAACGTACACTTAGGCAAAACCATTAATTCACAATTATCACATGATATCATGCACACAACATGATGGGCAACAATCATACGGCACATGAGATATAACATGCATAGTCAACCTTTATTTTCGCACATCATGCACACAGGTATAGTAATATTTAATATTCGAAACATCTTACGATATTCATATTCATTTATCCAAATCACATTCTTAACCTATGATGGCTAAGGCAATTCACATACCTATGAGTCATGGCACCCCAAGCAATGCTATAAAAGGGCCAGCTCTAGAAAACCCAAAGGAGATTCACTCTGGGCGGGTTGAAGCCCCTGTCTCTGCGATGCCAAGACAGTTCAAGGACTTCCGTACGTACATTTTTAACCCAAGACCACCAGGTGTGCGACGACGCCCCGCAATGGCATAAACTCTAGACTTATCTTATTGGTGATCCAATCAGTCAATCCAATTCAAGTCTGCCTAATTAAACTAGGTGGCCTATTCCCAATATTATTCACAATTCACAATAATCACCAATAAGATTAATTTAGTTCAAATCTCAATTCATTATTCACCAACATATCAAATAGCGGCCTATCAGAACCAAAGGCCCATGATTACCGTCATGCTCACATGGAGTCTCGGAATCAATCCTTGACAGAGACACAGATCAAGAGAGCATCAACTAATAATAATTCTCAGAACAACAAACACAATAGGTTCATATTAATGTCCTAAACATTATCAAGCACCTTAACTAGACAATCAGTGCCTAAGTCATTCATACTACCCTTTTCAATTCAATGACAACAATTCCCAAAACCACAATCAACAATTATAAGGATAAATCAAATAGATCAACCACGATAATAATTATGAACAGGATTTCAAACCTAGATGCATATTCTAGTGTTAGATGTCCACGTATTATTCACCTTGATTCATTCGATTGGATTCCAAAAAGGGTGTCACCCGAGCGTTGTCATCGTAACGAAAGTCATACCCCGCTTCTCGGACTTGCCGCTGCTGTCCGAATGTCAACCGCCACTGCCCGGAGGTCAGTCAACGCTGCTCGGACCAACAGAGCTAACCCGTCATTGCCCAGTCAATCCCGCCGCTACCCAAATTGAGTCCGGAGCTCCACTTCTCCTGCCCTGGTCCCGCATCCACTCTCGCCGCCGCTGGAAGTCGACGAAGATCCGAGGGGATGGCCGGAGCTGCCCAAACCTCGCCACTGTTTCGCCGGGATAGAGATCGTCGCCGGAATTGCTGGAATCTCCGGAACGAGGGTCGCTGGATAGGGGAGGTCACTGGCGGAATTCGTCTCCGTCGATTCGCCTCGCGACGTCGCCCTTCCCCATCGCCGCTGGACTCATCGCCGGAGGGAGAAGAAGTCACGCCGTTCGTCACCGTAACACGGTCGTCGTCGCCCCTGTAGACCATCGTCGCTGCTGTGTCTGGTCGGAATAGAGAAGGAATCTCCTGGCGGCGTAGTGGTCTTGTCGTAGTCGCCGATCTCATTGTCTCCTAGCTGCCCGTGGTGTGCGATCGAAACTCAAAAGGAGAGTGGCGACGGTAGTTTCGATCAAGAAGAAGGAACACGGCTTAGAGGTGAGAAAAAATCATTTATATCCCCCTAGGGTTTGGTATCCGTAATTTAAAATAACATGAAAATACACTTTTCGGGTCAACTTGCTCTGAATTGAGATCTGTTTGCGTCGTTGGATTTGATTCGTCGATCCCTACCCAACTATATAACTTTTATAATCATTCGACAAGTATTGATAAGTTCCACCTGCTACGTCTTAATTCTTTCAATTAATTAATACGGATTGATCTTTTAATTCAAATCTTTACAAATATACTCAGATTAGTTTCGTTATATTGACGATTAGAATCTCTAAAATATCTTTTAATTCTTTAAAAGAATAGGTTGTCGTAAATAAATAATTCTTGTTTATTTAATTATTGATTATATTCTAGCCCGGTTTCCAGGGTGTTACATCAAATATTTTTGTTGAATGCTAAATATATTGTCATCCATAGAGCTTTCATATTTCAAACACTACTTGCTCAATTGTGTGATCTTTCATTCTTGTGTTGTAAAACTCAATCCAGTTTAAGTTGTTGCTAAGACTTATGTGATTCAAGTCTTGTTGATTTTTGTTAAGACTTGTGTGACTCAAGTCTTGTTGTAAGAAGGTGAGACTTGTGTGATTCAAGTTTTCGAGTTGTATCAGTTTTTCAAGCATTCGTTGAAGCTTGAAGATTAGTCGGACCTTTGAGAGAGTTTCTCGGAGGACTGGACTAGCCACGAGGTGGTGAACCAGTATAAATCACGGTGTACTTCTTCCCTTGCTCTTTACGTTATTCCTGCGATTTTTATTCCGTTATCACATGCGCGAAAAACGAACATTCTAGTAAACAACTTTATTCACCCCCCTCTAGAGTTTCACTTTTGTCTAACACTCCTGGCATTGTAGATTGCAATGGAGGAACTTTGCCACTTCGTCTGTAATGACTTTTTGTAATATAAGGTTGTACTGCAAGTTGTCTTTAATATGACTTTCATTGACATATGTTATTATGTTATTACGAAGTAATATGAGATTTAGTTATTACTATTATATTTTACGCTCTTACACTCTAACATATGAATAATGTCTTTATAGTTGATCTACAACACTTAAATTTATGAGTTACTATTATCTCCGGCACACGGCACAAAGTGGAATACTAGTTTTTTTCATAAACTCATGGTAAAAATTGCACCACTTTGTTCTACTCCCAAAGCTAAAACGTCTACAGCGACACCAAAAAGTAAGAACACAAAAGGTAACCTAGACCAGGAAGGAATTCTTGTGCCCCAAACTGTATTTCTTACTCTGTCTCAAGAGTGTATAAAGATGTGTATGAATGAAATGAATTCCCCTCCTTCAACTCTTACAATCTAATTATATTGGGTGTAGGAAGTCAATTAAGGTAACAAGCCCTTCCTCGGGCGTAGACTTAGCTTCAATTGATACTGACATAAGGAAATAGCCCCTTGACCCGCTGCTCGCTTGCCTAACCATCAGTGAGTGCCAATCTCGCCCTTGTTTATGATGTCCAGCGGTTTAGCGTGATTCTCTCTCCGTCATTAAGTCCCAAAGATGATGGGGTAGTACAGTAGGATGGCTCCACGCGTGCCCTCGCTTAGCATCGCGTTCGCCAATTAAACTCATAGAATCTAATTGTGCCCATCTAATGGGCTAAACCCTCGAGCGACTCCAATAACGGCCCTGTAAGAATATGACCATGCCGAAAACATTACCGGTCACTTTTTAGGAAAGAGGTGACCGGTCATTTCCAAAACGTTTTACGCCACCTGGAACGCCACTTAATTTGTTGACCGGTCACATTTGACCTGTCACTTTGCGCCTGGCCGGGTCGGGTATTGGTTATACTCATCAATAAGTCCTCTAGTTACCGGCATTGTGAGAATCATCAACGGCAAGAAGTAAACCTAGAACTTCTCCCCGGGCCACATTCAAAGTCAAGACAAGGTGGCACTGATTTGCCTTTCAAAATTCGAAATCCGTTCCCTCTAAAACTTGACACTTGGAACAGTCCAATCGATACCCTGCCCTAGCCCTACCTGCCACGCCTGCCCTCTTCATTACATTCCACATGTGTCAGCATCTCATTGGTTGTAGTCGGTCAATGACCCAGGGGGACCAATGGCTTTCCCCTATAAAAGCTTCTCCTCCCCTCGAGTTTCTCTCACTTGCAACTTCCAAGCAACTCGATCTCGACCGATCGCTTTTCTTCTTTCTGTGCTTCCCCCAAGTAAGTCCTCCTAGCCCTTCCATGTGTTTATTGTTTTCCTTGGAGCTTTCCCGGCATCTTAGTCCTCCTCAGTGGCGGAGCCAGAAGCTAGCGAGCGGGAGGGACACTACAAGGGGTTTGGGCGTGAATTTTTTTACAGATTAGTACTTTCTCCAGTCCTAAAAACATTTCCTATTTTAATTTTTTTGGTCAAATAGTTACACTCTTTGACAACAAATCAAGCATAATCTGACAATATAAAAATCTGATATATCAAAACTATATCCTAAGATAAACCCAATTATATAGAATTTATATTATAATTAAATATATTTTTCTTACAATTTATGGTTAGGCAATGTCACTGTTTGACAAAAAAGGTTAAAACAGAAAAAAATTTTAAGAATGGAGGGAATATGATATAACATAAAATGCAATATATTCTATCTCAAATCATTCCAAATATAACAACAAAATAATATTATTATTACTTATATGTTTTTTCAAAATGACAAAAAATTACTCCCTCCGTCCGAAAATTATTTTCCCATTTGACTTTTCTTGGTCAAATTTGTAAACTTTGACTCCGATATGTAGAAAAAATACATTGTATTATAATATAAAATTAACATCAATATATTCATATTCTAACATAGTTTTGATATATCAAATTTTTATAAAATATATACATGTATAAATATAGATATTAACGGTCAAAGTGTAAAATTCGAGGCCGTAAAGAGTCAAACAGAAAGAATATTTTTGGATGGAGGGAGTAATTTTTTTGGACAACATAAAACACTGCTAATAAACACCAAATGAAGTTAAATAGAAAAACAGAACTCCAAATTAAAAAAAATCAAAATATGAACTTATATTCAATCTTCACTTTACATTTGGGCTTGAAGGGTTTTTTTGTTTAAAAAAGGCCTAGTCATAGTAAAAAAACTAAAAATGACCTATTGGAGCCGCCGAGCTTTACGACACCGTTTTTTTATCTAAAAAATCATATACTCTATGTTTCAAAGAAGACCGGAAAACAGAGAGTAAGGCAATCGGGAAGCAGGCTCTACCGCAGGGCGGGCACCGCGACCACCTTTGACTGACATCGCAGGTCACACCTTTTCGCCAGATCTTCGCCGGGGGGGGGGGGGG